CCCCACCCCCGCTTTGAGCATCTCCTGTGCTGGGGACCCCACACCCGCCCCGATGGGACCCGCGACCGGTGGCCGGACCGTCTCTTTCTTGTCTGCCACCCGGGGGCCCGTCGCCACCCACAGCTTCCTCCAGAGCGGACCGGGCCCTGGGCGCGGCTGTCCTCGCCGATGGCCGCCTGGCTGGGCGCCGCTGGGCGGAGAGGGTCTGCACCAGAGCCGCTGGCCGCTCCTGCCGCGTGTCCCAGGCCGGCGCGCGCCCCTCTCGCCGCAGCCTGGATTAAACCCTGGTGTGGAAACTGCCGGTCAGGCTCCCCAGGGTGGGGCCCCCTCCCCCAGGGCCCATCCTTTACGTGGGACGGAGGGGAGCCACTCGCCGTGTCCGCGGCGGCCCTGGGAGGACCGGCCTGCTGGTGCCTGAGTGCCCAGCGTGCTGCAGGGAGTGCGCCCAGACAGGCTTCCCCGGGCCTCGGGCAGGGAGCCCCTGGGGTGCGGAAGGACACCCGACGGAGCCGGCGGCTGTCACTGCCTCCGCAGGCCGGGAGCTGCTGGGGTGCTCACCCACAGGCCTCCCCGTCGTTCCCAGGGTGCGCTCCTGGGGGGCCCAGGTTTTCCCTCCCACTCTAGGGTTTCCCTGGGCGGGCGGAGAGAGCGTTTGGGGGGGCGGGCAGGGGCCTCAGGGCGACCCGAGCCCCACGGGCCCTCCAGCACCCCGCGCTCTGGGCTGGGAGGCAGCCTGTCGGGGTGCCCCAGCTGCCCAAGCACCCCCGGGGAGCCCGGGGCTGGGGTGTCGCAGGTCCATCTCTGCTCCCCCCAGGAGCCCCAGCCTGGACTCTGGGAAAAGTCTGCGGCTGAAGACCCCTGTTCACCTGTGAGCCAAGGGAAGGTGAGGGGCCCTGAGTCCCCAACAGGGAGGGCAGCAAGCACTGCCCCCCCCACGCTTCCATCTGAGCACCCGTCTGCGTAGCTCTGCTCCCCCTTTGCCCGGGGGCTCCCCGCCATCCCATCTGTCCAGGCTCAGGCGCCATGGCCCCTCCTGAATGCCTCCTGGCAGCCTCCCATCTCCAGTCTCCCCCTCACTGGCCACTCCTGACCGGGTCAGACGCCCTCCCCTCCTCCCAGCAGGCACCTCTTTTCTGGCTGACCGCCGCTCCCCAAACCTCAGCATCGGCCTGTCTCCCCACAGGGCCTGCTCTCCCCCATGGCTGGTCACTCACGGCCTCGGCCCTCCAGCGGCCACGTCACAGTCGCCCGGCCCTCTGGTGGCCCAGCACTGCGTGGCCAGCTCACAGAGGCAGTTGTCCTGCAGGCCCGAGCCAGGCCCTGCATTCACCTGTCCGTGCCGGGCCTGCCCCTGCAGAGGTGCCCCGGGGAAGGGTTGCCCTGGGGCTGGCGGGGTCCAGCCAGTGGGGCACCACGTGGGCCTGGCTGAAGGTGGAGAAGCTGGAGGAGGCAGTTTCTGGCCCTGCGGCCGGGGGTGGGGCCAGGCCAGCGCAGAGGTGCTTCACGCCCAGGAGGAAGCCAGAGCCGAGCCTTCGGGTGGGGGCGCCTGGGGCAGCCGGGCGGGCGCCAGAGCCCTGGGGCCTGGCGCGTGGCGCGTGGCCTTGTGGCCTCGTGGCAGGAACAGGCCGTCTGTGCCCCCACGGGGCCCTGTGGGGGCGGCTCTGGGCCAGCAAGGGCGGCAGGGCCCTGCCGGCCACTCCCAGATGCAGGCTGGGCCTCCAGCAGCGCGGGGCGCCCGGGCCTCTGAGTGCGGGCTGCAGACCCCGCTGCTGTGCCCGCTGCTCGGAAGGAGGGGTCCTCCCAGCCCCTCAGCTGCCCAGAGGCCCAGAGCGCCAGCCCTGACCCTGACCCCACCTTGACCCGCAGCCTGAGCCTCTGGGCCTCTGCCGGAGAGAGCCCCATTGTTCGGCGGGAGGCGGGGCTGCCGGGAGGGGTTGCGGGCTGTCAGCGGCCCTAATCCCCTGTGGGAGCCCGATCCGGACAAAGGGCCTCTTGAGCCTCCCAGCAGCTAGGGACCAGCACCCACCGCTGGGGCGGGCTCCCGGACGGGCCTTCGGGCGTGGGGGTGCACACGGGGGTGCGTGCGGGCGCCCACAACCTGCGCGGGTACAGGGCACGGCCCTGCCAGCGGAGAGCGGGAGGCCTGTGGGGCGGCTGTGAGCCCGCAACCCCAGGCCAGCCTGTCCCCCAGCCCCCAGGGGCGCTTCCTGGAGTCCCTGCCCAGACAGACCCTCCTTCTGGCTCCCAACCCTGCAGCCTGGCGGTGGGGAGCAGCTGGGTTGGCATGACCCCACGAGCGCCCAGACTGAGCTGGGGCAGGAACACAGACCCTTTGTCCCTGCCCCAGCCCATTCGCCAGGGCCCGCCTGCCCGCACCTCCCGCAGGGCTGTCTGGCGGCGGCCTGTCTGCGCCGTCTGAGGCCTGTCAGCCGCCTCGCCCCACCCAGCCCTGCTGTCTGAAGGTCACTGGAGGGAGGAGAGCCCCGGGGGGCAGGTGGGGGCCCTCACCTTCGGGCAT